CTTTCTTTCTTTCTTTCTTTCTTTCTTTCTTTCTTTCTTTCTTTCTTTCTTTCTTTCTTTCTTTCTTTCTTTCTTTCTTTCTTTCTTTCTTGCTTGCTTGCTTGCTTGCTTGCTTTCTTTGTCTTACATTTTTCAGTTAGATTTATGTTTGTTTGCTGGTGATCAGCTGGAACAGGTAGATTACTTTTACAGCCAGCCATAAGCATCCCATCCTCTACATTTCGTAGAAAAACCATCATGCAATGTCCTAACAAAGATCTGGATGTTGGAAGAAAAAACAATGACGTGAAACCACTAGGGCAGCTGGAAGGATGGACAGAGACGAATATCTAACTGGATTCTAATCTTAAATGTAAACTGGTGTTTACATTTAAGAAGATTGCTCCAACACCATAATCAGATTATTGAGGTGCCTGTTCACCTTTGGGACTGGATAATTCATTTCAAGGTTGACAATTTTCACAAATAATGTCTTTCACACTCAGCCTCACAGATTTCTGCTCCATTCACCTTTGACTTTTAAGTGAAACTGAGCAGAAAGATGTCTCTGCTGTTCTTCTTTTTTCAGGGAGTGTTTTCTTTCTACTCTCTGCCCTTAAATTAAATGTTTTTGTGAAGTGCTTCCTCTTTATATATTTGTCAGGGGGATATTCCTGTGCTTAATGTTATTTAAATTAGAAGAGTATTCTCATAAGAGTGAAACAACCAAATATGTTTCCTTAGAATCGAAAAGAGAACATTTATTCTGCCAAGTGATGTGTTGCGATCCGATGACTCAATCATCATCATCATATCCTCAATAAGATAAAGCAAAAACTTCATAGGTGGCCTTTTAAATACCTTTTAATTAAGAACTTGGTTAAAAAAAGTGATATTAGCAAAACAAAACATGGAGGTAATTTTATTTATTCCATGTTTAAAATTTCAGATTATGCTCTGTTGAATTTAAATACACTTATGTCTAGATGCATTTCACTCGGAGTCTGCTGTGAGTAGAAAAAAAAAAGAATATTTAGTGAAGTATGTTATTAGAGCGGGTCTTTGCACAAGACTTGACTTGCGTTAGTCATAACAAAGAGCATAAAGTTTATTTTTCTCAACTACCTCCTCACTTCTGCTTCTCTCGGCTCATTTATTCACAGACTGGCTGCAGAGACTGTTTTCTATGCTGACAGCTGTCTGATATCAATGTGCTTTTAGGAGAATGTGCACTGGGATGTCTATGGAATAGTTTGCAGGCCAGATATGACAGATATTTATCAAACGCAGTGCACTAACTCACTATGGGGGCTTCCAATAGAGAACGATGTTTTGCAGCCGAGGTTAACTTTAATTTTCTGTTTCTACTTGAAATAAAACAGCAACATCGGGAAACATTTCAAGCAAAGCTTTGCTAATACTGTTGAGAGTGTGGTCGGTCCACCTCTTTGGTCAAGAATGAATATTTCAGCAGTTACTGAACAGATTGTCAGTGATTTCTGAGGGCTGAACCCTCCAGAGCCTCGTGTATATCCTGTGTGGACATATAAAAATCTTACACATGACCGTTCTCATGCAAACTTGGGAAAAATGAGACCTTAAAGTGAACGAGCAGACTTGCAAAGTGGAAGGCAGTAGTAAAATTGTTTAAAAACTCCCATAAGCTCTGATTTGGGTTTTGACAGCTGTTGGTGCTAGACTGTTAAACTTCTTCTCTAAAACCCGTAGTTCCTCTCTAGTTATGGTGACGTATCATTAAAAGCATTGAAGAATATAAAGCAGAGTAATAAAAAGACTGAAACCAATATTGCATCATCATTATTGTTACATTGGTTTTATACGCTCAGTCTCAGTTTATAGATTTTCTAAACCAATTTGAAAGAATAGTGAAGTAAAACTTCTGCCCTTCTTGGTACTCCGGATTCTGATGATAATGAGCTGTTTTGTGCTTGAAATTAAAGTCATTTTCTTGTCTTAATGAAGAAACAGAGAAAATACTGATCTAACAGGCAAACATCACATGAAAATCAAATTTTAAAGGCACATTGTGTAACGTTTTCTCCTTTTTACTGCCTTAAATCGATGACTGCATTTACATATTTGTTGTTATTGGTGAATTTTTACCTTAACTAATAAACAAATACATTTTCATAAGCGAATAATTTGATGTTAGTTTATAAATTAGTCTTGAAAATACACATACTGGGAAGGATAAAATAGCACCAAGGTGTGGAATAACAACAGCTCAGAGTGATTGAGAACTGGTGGTGAAGATCATTTGGAGATGCTAACCCAACAACGGAAAGATTGAACTAGTGTAGGACAATGCAGGACATGCATATGCAGCAGCACAAAAAGGTAAAGGCTTCACATCTCCAAGAAAAGAAACTATAGACATCAAAAGACCAGGATAAACATCGAGCAAGCCTTCTCCAGGAGGAAAGAGCTATTGAGAAAGCCAGTAGTGAACTGTCCTGCCTAAATTGGTGTAAAACTGATTTTTTTCCATTCGCTTTAATTAGCTTGTGACCAGAGAAGCATAAGAGTCAATCCTGCCAACATATACCGATCTTTTTGGTACTGAATTGTAAGTTTACGTTGGTTTGGTAGCTTTTTTACCGGTTTTAAGTCCGCCTTCATCATGAACACAGCAGCACTTGAAACCATGTTAACGTTCATTCCACTTCTGTGTCTGTGTTGTTGAACTTTCTCCTTTTTTTTCATGTTTTATTTTAAAATGCAGTTCGCAATATTCAAGAAATGACGAACATCTTCACCTGAGTTAAAACTCCATGAAGAATTGGTTGACATCGTTACATCTGAGACGTTGAGGATTTTTGACAACTGCGTCTACCCTTGGCGCGATACATGCTTGAGGCAGTGACGTCCTAGAGGACAGTGTGTATTTGGGTTAAATACCCCCATTTCACCGCTAGATGGCAGTATTTCTTACTCAATATCCCTTTAAAGGTGTGAAGTTTAAAAAAATGTTTTGTCTTTTTAAAAATGTTTCGTCTCATATTTTTGGAAATTAGATCTTTCTCTGTCAGATTTCGATAGACTGTCAGTGAACAGAAATTTTTGTCCTGCTACAGATTTTTAATTGGATTTATGTTTGGGGTTAACTGGGTTTCGTTAATACTTGGCTTTGCTTGGGATGTGAAGCGTTGTATGTTTAAGGTTGTCCTGCTGTGCCACTTTCCAAAAAATGTGAGGAATCTACACTTAACCTCTAAGTGACTGCTCTTTATTTAAAAGAAAGATTTTATCTGTGATTAAATATTTTAGAAAACATGCCCTGAGTTTACATTTCTCACCTCTCAACCTGTCTGAGCATTAGGTGGATGCTCTAGAGAGCTACATGCATTCCAGAAAAGCCAATCCTCTTTACTTTTTGCATTTAAAAGATTTATCGCTAAAGTCTGGAGAACTAGTATCGCATGACTACATCTGATGCTTTGTCAAAGTCCATGTTTTAATGCAGATAATTCATGAAGATGAATTGCTATGCAGGTGGCGCCCTGCTGTGCATGCAATTATCCAGAGGGATGCTTCCATGAATGAACACAGTTGAGATCAGGTTTGAATGAGCAAATAAACCCAAAGTGTTACTAAAAGTCCTCTTTAATTGACATAGAAAACATTAAAAGACAAAGATAACATTTTAGACAAAACAAAAAAATCCTCTTTGTGTGTAAATATATAATATAAGTGGTAAAAATAAATACTCATTTGATTAGATTACTTTGCAGGTAGATAGACAGACTATCAGACATGTTATTAAGAGCATCAAGATAAAACAATATTTTACACCACAGCAGTTGTGGAGCAGTGATAGTGGCGGCTGTTTACAAGATTTCTGTCATCTAGCAACTTGTTTTAAGAAATTACTGGAACATGTTGCGTTCAAAGTGAATTACTTATGGTGTTTCTTGGTAAAGCCAATGTAAATTAATGTCTGTTTTAAAATAAGATTAACATGAGTTAATCCAAAGTACTAACTTTTTGCACTTAATAAAATAGTTACCAATTTATTTTAGCTTTGCCTCATTCAACCATTTGCTGGAATGTGGCGATTAGGGATAAATATTTTCAACCGTACTTATGCATCTAAATTCAGTTCTTCCCAGATCAGTGTCTTCTTTAACAGGTGGGTCTTTTAAAGGTGGCATCTGAGTTCCAGATGTGAAAAAGGATTCCCTCCTGATTCTTTTTCTCAGTTCTTGTCTTTAAAGGCGGGGAGGATTTCAGCTGCCAAACGACATCCATCACTGGCTTTAGCTGGGATCCAGGTTTTTTTGAGAGAACATCTTTAATAAACACTGAGCCAGCTGCACAGTGCGGATCCAAACACCAGTAACGCTAGTGTTTCCAGATTCACTGTCCCATTTGCTAACTGTACTTGCTTGCTTTTAAGAGTTGAGAAGTAGGGGTGAGTCTCTCCCCCATTGCAAAGCACCATGGGAGGCTGGAAAGAGGTGGGCCGCCTCAGTGGTCGATCTGGACTGGACCCATCTGTCGGTCTCTCTCCGGTGAAAAGCAGTGGGTGTTTTTTATGGTCAAGCTCCATCTTGAAAAGCTCGTATTCTTTATGTGGCAGCTTGATGCCCAGCATAGGACATCCGTTTGTTAAAGTCAAGTCCTGTTCCACCCCGACCCTCCAGTCTCTGGCTCGTCCACACTTCCCTGGTCTCGTGCTGTTCAGCAGCTTAGCAGTGGACTCGTCCATGGCTGTGACTTTAACCTGTGTTACCTTGAAGACAAACTCAGAGGCTCTTGAGAGTTTGGAGTGGGGGTTTCCCTGAGCATAGTGCCCCATGGCTCTCAGGGTGAAAGTGGGTTGTGAACAGGTTGAATCCAGGTAGTGACGGTAGATGCCTTCCCAGGCGTGCTGCTTTGGATTAAAGGTGAAGTCTCGGGTGAGGAAGAGTACATTGGGACGGGTTTCGCAGCGCTGGCTGACCCAGTGGCCCGCCAGAGACAGAGGAACCGCAGGCGTGCGGGGTAACACAGGGGGGCGCTGCTCTGAGGAGCGGTACACCAGGGCACACACGGGGCAGGGGTGGATGTGATGCTGTAGGATGACAGAGACAGATGATACCCATGGAAAAAATTAGTGTTTGTGTCTTGGGAACAATCTCTGTGCCAATTTGGACACGTTATTTATCATCATTCTGGTAAAAGAACCAGTAATTACCGCTACCTATTTATTCTAGTAGCCTGGTAGAATCCGGCAATGTTTCATTTCAAATCTTGTGAGACTTTGTTATAAAGAGATCACGATGGCTTCATGTTCTTCAAGTTTTCAGAGAACAAAACAGGCCCACGATATTCTATGAGATGCTTTTTATTTATTTATCCTTTGTCTTATAACTGCCTTAATTCTTTGTCTCGTCTGACCAAAGTGCACTATTGTAGCTTTTAGCAATCTCCAAATCTATACATTTGTAAGTGATGTTAATGGTACATCAAACAGAAAATACTGTAGTAAAAATCAAGTGGTTTTTATGGAGACCTTCTGACCTTGAAATGCTTTGCTGAGATGTTGTTTTTTCTTTTTTTTACCTGTCTTACCCTCCTCCTCATAGGTTTGGGCCATGAGGGCCACAACATAAATCTGACTCCTTATCCAATAACTATTGACTATACCCTTAAGTATATGTGTCAGAAGGTAACAGATGTGGGGTCAACAGGTCATCTCTATGTCATGTATTTGTTCTGCCCAGCCACTGAAGCAGGTAAGTCCAAATCTGCCCAGTGAACTGAATTGTGCATATTTGGACTCACCTTGTTCAGTGGCTGGGCAGAGCAAATACATGACATGTAGATTAATTGTTGACTCCACATCTCCCACCTCTGGGAAGTAATGGGTTACTAAATAGAATTTCATGGAACCTCGAATAAGTTTGAAAATAACACAAAGAATGTAATTGAAAAAGCTAAAATGCTTTTATTTTGAAGGCGTTAGCCAAAACCATTATCCACTGATTTTGTGAACTTCAGGATTCCTGTCTGTGTGTTTGTGTTTCTGTGTTTGTCTCCCTTCCTCCACCAGGAGGCGCCTGGTTCTGTTCCGTCTCCTCACACACCTGCAGAAGATTACCTCATTAACGGAGTGCTCTTAAGCTGCTGACTGCCACTACCTCGACGCCAGAGTGTTTGCCAGTTTAGGGTACTCTAGCCAAGCTGAGTTTTGCTGAGTCAAACTGAGTTCTTGTCAACCTGAGTCTTAATCTTGTTTTTTGTCTTTGCCTCTCAGCAGGAAGTCATCCTGCAAACTGGATGTTTCGGACCTTCTCTCCCTGGAAGGATCATCTGAGCTTCAAACTGAGCTAAGGATTTAAACTGGAGGTTTGAACCTACTTTCCCCAAGAGATCGTTTTGAGCTTCACACTGAGCAAGGGATTCATCTCCACTACAACCCGTTCAAGTACCACAGGAAATCTGAGTGGCAGTCAGCTTCTCTGTTCACCTACAAACTACCGCATTCTGGGTAAACCCTGTTCAAACCTCCACCAAATCAGACAAACACTGGAACAACAGCATACAGGATGGAGTAAATAAGAGTCAACCATTTTCTGGAAACGTGAGTCAGCAAATTATTTCTCCTCTTCAAGTTCGAGAATCTAATTTCCCACCGAGCCTGAACTAACCGCAGTGTCTTCAGTTTCAGTTCCGGTTGAGCAGTGTTCAGAGCAACACTGGATTCTTCACAATCTCCTAATAAACCTGTTAAACCTTTTTCCTGGTCTCCCTGTTTGGTCTTCTGCTTTTGGATCTGATCTTTAGTTAAACTATGACAGTGAGAAAAAAAAAGTTATTCCTTTTTTTTTTTTTTTTTTTAAATCCTAATCTGAATGAATATCATGAAACATGATGGATGAATCTATTCTAATGCTTTCTGAAATGTTTACCTGGTGAGCACTTAACCATGGCTTGCAATGTTTTAGTAAAGATCCGCATCAACAATCAACTTGTGATAAATTAAGTAACATGACCCTTTTTTGTATTCTACAGTGCTAAATCTCTATCTCCAAACAAATCTTTGGTCATTTGAAATGTCTGATACTGCAGTCCATTGCAAAACTAACTGATCTGCTCATTGGACTTTATTGCAATCATCAATAATTTCCTCTCCCTGATCATAGCAATAATCACCGAGTGGGATTCTCACCATGGCGTTCTGTAGAGGCTGCTGGTACCCTGTGGGTCTGTGCTGTGTTCTCTGAGCCCAGTCTGTGTGAATATCCCCTAAAAACAGCTCCTGAACCTCTCCTCCATGGCTGTGGTGCTGCTTCTCCACGCGCACCAGACCCATCTCCGCCACAGAGAAGCCCATTGCTGCCAGGCAAGCTCTCCCTGCGCGGGTGTTGTACAGCTCATATGGCTTTCCCAGCACCATTTCATTGATGCTCAGGCTCACACAGGCTGAGGGCAGCCTGGACGCCAGCCTCTGCTTGGCTGCCACGCTGTGTAGCACAATCCCCACTCTGCTGAGGTGGTGGTCTGCCTCGGTGGCCCCAAGGGTGATCCAGGAGGCCTGGAGCAGACGGATCTTGCCTCTGATTATCAGGGAGTAGGCTGGGTCCTCACAGCTGCTCTCAGTGTAGTAGTGCTGCAATGCCTGGAAGTGACGATTGGAATGGAAGGTGTAGGATCGAGTGAGGAACTCTGGACCAGGTCGGACCTCACATCTGAGCATATAAGGAGAAAAATCGAATTAGTCACTGTGTATGGCTGTATCTTGGTGTTTTTGCATCACTGTAGAATCATGTTTCACTCTTCTTTGTCAGTTTTCTGCAAAGTTTACAATCCAGAGACATTTTTTACTTCAGTTCAACTATTTAAACTTGTTCAGAGACTCAAATATTACATGCTTCTTTTTTTAAACAAACAAAAAAAAAACAACTACATATCAACCACAGGAGATTTTCTTTTTTAGATAAGCACCAGGTCATTTCAAACTTTAGGTTTTAGGATGACAGAAACAGCTTGTGAAAAGAGAATGAATACATTTTCAACAATTTGCAGAAATTTGTGCAAAATTGTAAAAAAAATAAAAATTAATTTTCCCACTTAAATATATTTTTGTTGTATTTTTGTGCTGCAACAGTGTTTTCAGTGATTTTTCAACTCAGGAGACTTGACCAAAGCTTAAGGTCTGGTGGTCAGAGGGCCCGGTAGCTGCCCTTTATACAGTCACTCACTTCTGTCAGTGAGCCCCAGGGCAGCTGTGGTTACAATGTAGCATGCCACCATCAGTGTGTGTGCATGAGTGGGTGAATGACTGAATGTAGTGTAAAGCACTTTGGTCAAGTCTCTATACTTGAAAAAGCTCTATTTACCATTTAGAGTCAATTTATTTTGGAAATACAATGTAATTAGTCAGTGGAGAAAATGCTAAAACATGCATACCAATATAAAAAAATAATTGCTGTCTCTTTATCATTATTAGCCAAAGAAATTAAGAGCCATTGTTGAGTGTCTAAAGAGCTACAGATTTCAGATGCCTAAAATGATTCTCTTTTCCAGGTAACCAAAAGATAATGATATTGTTTTTAGCCCTTTAAAGCCAAGTTTATCATATTTGATACAGGAGATTTTGAAACCTCTGCATCATCAGTGTGATGTTTTTGTTCTTGAAACCCTGACTTACATAATCAGACACATGTAGTGAACAGAAAACATATAAAAGATCATATAGAAATGCGTAATATGTCAAAATTTATGCAAATAAATGATGTAATTGAATGTTTTTACAAGTTTTATATAGTTATTTCATTTGTCACAAAGTTCAATTACAATTCTAATTTTGGAAAATTAGAATCTTCTGTCAATTATTTCCTGGTTAGAGGAAGAGATCAGATTACAGTAACACTATAAAGTGTGCTAAGGACAAAAGTGAAAAACCGTTACTTGGATATTCAGCAAGTTGTTGCCGGTTTGCTTAGAAAAAACTGTGTATGGACATATACCTTGTTGACACCCATGTCCCGTCCAGTTTTGGGGGGATATCTGCTGTGATTTTTACTTTCTCCTGCAGGTGGTGGTACTGACAGTGTTCCCCTTGTGGGCTCCAAGTGTGATTGGATGAGGATGTGAAGCGACCAGTGGGAACCTCCCAAAGTTTATTCCTTGTTCCAGCTACAATTACAGCTGCTGCGAAGAAGAGGACAGTCATTAGAAATGCGGAAACAACCACAGTTGCCTAATAAACACTGAGGCTCCATTACACTAAATTCCAGGCTGATTTGGGATGTATGGGGATGATTACCCACCTCCGCCATTTCAAAAACGACGATGAGTATTTACATTGTCTCCCAGTTACACCTAAACATGAGCCTGACTGAGTGCAATCCGTTACGGGATTGGTAATTTTGATACATTATCCATGGAAAGAGAGCCAACTCTTACAGTAGAACCCTTATATCAATGTAAATCAGGATGATGGCTTCACTGCACAGTTCTTTTTCCAGTCTTCCATTCTTTGGGATTTGCTTTTGAGCACAAAATATATGTGAAGTGCATGATTTCTTTATTTGTCCTTTTCTATCCTAATAGACAAACAGCAGGCATTAAGCCAAACACATCTGTGAATAATATGATAAAAAAAATAATCTAAGGATGATGAATGGTTCTTTCCTAAAAGCTGACAGGGGATTCAACTAAAAGCCTGTTTTCTACTCTTTACCAGTTATTGAGCTCACACATCTGCAGCTTGTCTGTCATTGAAAGCGTTTTCTAAATAAAAACCTGTGTGATGTCGGCGCTGCAAGGCCGAGCCCTTCTGCCTGCTCTCAGACGAAAAGTATGACTTTATTTTCATGTCAGGAAAAAATGCAGAAACACAAAGATTTTCTGACAGATGTTACTTATTTTTCCTAAATTTCCTGGCATGTTGTTATTTAAATTTTTTTTTTTTTGTTGTATGGTGAAATGCCCTGTTTAAGCTTCCTTTCTCAAATTTAAATGTTTTTTTTTTTTTTTACATAAAAAGGCAATGCTCTTAGTTAACATGTTTTTTAATTAAATATTCATTCATAAGTTGCTTGACTGAATTTTATTTCACTTTGGCTTGCACATTAAAGATCGTCCTTGTCAAACCCCAACCTATGCTTTAAAGCACGAGGCCGCAGATCAATTTGCTCCTCTTTGGTGAAGCACAGAAACCTTAAATCAAGCAGGGCCGCTGGAGTGGAAAGTATGCACAGCTGAATTTTCTTTAACAGGCCCCAAGATGGAGGCTGACTGATGGGCATTTATTAACCTTGTTAATGTCAAACGAAGGATATTTTTTGTTCCTTTCACTCTTGGAATGCTGCTCCCCACATGCCGACCACAACCGCAGACATGTGTGCAGCTCAGCTCTCTGCCCACCTGATCTGAACGCACACATACCAGATACACACACTCACACATTGAGTTGTTTAAGCTGCAACAGTCGCAGACCGCAGAGCCAGGTTTTAACCCAAAGCCCATGTGTCCTCCATGCAGCGGTCTGTCAATTTACAGTTAGAATTATGACCTATCTTTGGCATCGCTGGTTTTGGATCAGGGTTTGTAACGTCTCTCACGAGGTGATGTGTTTGCTTGCACTGCTTGTGGCTATAACTAATGAAGCTAGTCACTCAGTTAAACCAAAACGACTATTCAGGTTCCGTTATTATGTAATGCTTCATGTAAGTCGTCTACTCAGTCTGTTTTGTGTTGTTTCTGCATTCAGCGTATTGCTTAGTTTTTCTCTAGCACAGACATGGACACATTTATTCCTTTAAACCACTTTTAAATTGCTATAAGGGTTCACTTGTCATTTAATTGATTCCTCCAATCTCTTCCCAGCATATGGTTGCGTTTACTTATAAAGTGCTCATAAAAGCAGAGCTTAGTCAAACCAAATTGCTTATTGTGGGGTTCTGATGAATCCTCTACAAAAAAATTCATCCTAACCACAAGTTAGATGATGGTTTTATACATCCTCAATCGAGAGGCACCAGAAGGACTTTTTGATTTGATCTGCTTCCTGCACATGCAGTCGTATATCGTTAGCTTTGGCCTTCAATGCTGCTCGCCGAGTTATTTTTCTTCCATGAGCTCTAGCATTGCACTAATGTGCACTAGTGTGCAGAGATGGAACTCATTAAATTCATTTAAGACCAGAGAAGTAGCTTAGTTTGTATCAAATAGGCAGCATAGAAAACTACTGACTAAACTTTTTTAGTTTTGTGCACATTTATAAAAGGTAAACTTATAGTTTGTGGCTAGTGATTTACTTTACTCACTTCTTTATTGTTTCTTTTACATTAAAAAAAAATCTAATCTAAATGAAAAAAATCCATGTTACAAAGTGACTGTCTATGATGTTAAACTTTCCTTCTTACACATATTTTTTTCAAATTTCATTTTTGTAACACACAATGGTTCTTCTTTCATCCATTTTTTTCATCATTCTGAAAATTGGGAATTTCCCTTCTTTTTCAGGATTTATTTTCTAACCTTATTCTATTAGAAATATTTTTGTCATTTAATTTAGATTCATTAATTTTGTATCATTGTTCCATTCTTTATTTCAATGACTTTGTGGTAAAAAAAAAAAAAAAAAGACTAAAACAAGCAAACAAAAAAAACTATAGTCCACTTTTCTAACAGTCATACACGGAGGTGACTAGAGTACCTGAACATTTTACTCAAATAAAAGCATAAAGTAATCATCCAAAGCATAACACAGTTGTAAAAAGATTACTCAAGAACTGAGTAATTGTTGGCTTATAACATTTGAATTAAGTTTAAAATAACGGAATGTATTTTGTGCAAATACTGGTATTTCAAAGTATTTCAAAAATATAATTACAAAGTGGTTACTTATGAAACCAATCTCTACAGTTAGTTATTTAATTAACTGGATCATTGGTTATCAGAACAAATTAAAAAATCTGCATAAATGCAGTACTCTGCATGCAACTTTTAGTAAAGGAGCCATTTGCCAATTAACTGAGCAGTCATGTTTTGGGATTGTGGGAGGAAGCCAGAGTTCCCGGAGAGAACATGCCATGCAAAGAGACCTCGGGCGGGGAATTAAACCCCGAACCTTCTTGCTGCAGGGCAGCAGTGCTACCCACTGCACAGCCCTTTTTCATATATACGTATTTCAAGTGGAAAGAAGACTTAAACGTTTCTGAATGTTAATCACGTTGCTCATGATGGGAAGTAACCAGAACATTTACTTAAGTAAGAGTAGTGATACTCTTGATAGAATATTACCTAAGTAAAAGCAAAATAAAGTGTAGCTACTCCTAAAAGCACATTTATTTTTAAAAGTTAATCAACTTAATGTAACTGAGAAAACCTAACTAGTTACTACCCACCTCTGGTTATACAGCATCTCTGTTTCTTGTTTTAAATTCTGACTACAAAGCCATAAACATGCTTAATCTATAAATTTATCTGTGTTGACTATTGAACAAGTGGATCAGGTAAACCTGAGACAGAATGAGGAACTTTAATCATTACCAAAGCTGTTAGCTGCTTTGCTGCTGTTTGCAGCAGGCAGTTAGACCAACCTATGTCCCTCCTGGACACCATCTGGACAACACACTGCTGATTCTGGACATCTGCTGGAAAACAATCCAGTCTGAGCTGACTTCCTGTAATACTTCAGCCTTCCCAGCAGGGGTCAGTGCTGCAGCCACCAGCTCAGCTGTGTGTGGTCTCCGCAGTCAGTCTGTTGACACCAACACTGCTGCTGCCTGGGCCTTCACTTCATCTGAGTGATGGCCGGCCAAAGCAATCTACCTGTCTTTGAGTTCCTGTATTCATTCGGGGTCTCTAAACGCACACACAAACAGACACACACATACATGCACACTGTTTACTTAAACACACTGCACACACTGATTTACTGTACTCTGTAAAAGGATAGTATTTTGGAAAAGCCTGCAGGCTGCCATCTGTTTGTTTGTTTGTATTTGTGATTAAGGTTTGGCAGCCTCAGCTCTCCTCTCTCTGCTGGTCAAATACACAGCTTTATGTGCAGCTCCTCCAATAACATCAACTAGATCCAGTGAATTTGAAATTAGTGCTTGACATTAGAGTCCATTTCACGCTTCGTTCAGAGGGAAAGAAACTTTTATTAGCCCAACTATGAAGTTTCTATTAAAGAATTTAGAGATTTTTAGTGGTGTCAAAAGTACACACATTTGTTATTGAAGTAGAAGTATAGATACTGCAGTTTAAAAACACTCTGGTAAAAGTTGAAGTATCAACTTGACCTCTTTACTCAAGTAAAAGTGAAAAAAGTATGTGCTCCAAAAACGACTTAAAGTATAAAAGTATAAAGTAACCTTTAAAAAAAACAGCCAGATGCCACTATATGAATTGAAAGCTAAATTTTTCAACTATTTCGAAAAATTGTTTGAGATAGGGCCAAGGATGAGGGAGGTCTTGTTGGTCTCCATCTCCCGATACGCTCTCGCCTTTGTCCGACCTTTCTGACATTTTAACATCTTTTTTTGAATCCCACATTGCAGCATGGCATAGACAATTCACGTTTACAGTTTGAAGAACACCAGCTTGCTTCTGATGATTTCCTTTAGCTAACCAATGAGTGTTTGCGTTATATGACTCATCCAATTACACTAGTTTTCACTAGATGTGGATGGAGCTAATGATCTGCATTGGATGGAGCACATGATATGAAATAAATTTTTATAAACCAAATCCAAGAGTAAAATGCAACGAATAGAAAGTATAGATTCTTGTGTGAAAATGTAATGAGTAGAAGTCAAAAATAGGAAGAAAAATAAGTAATGGAGTAAAGTATAGGTACCTAAAAAGTGTACTTAAGTACAGTAATTAAGTATTTGTCCTTTGTTACTTGACACCTCTGGAGATTTACAATCATATAACCAAAGTGTTATTTATTTTAAAAGAAACGTCATACTTTTATCATTTAAAAACCAAACATTAATATTGTTTCAATTATTAAAAATTGGACTCATGCCAGATAGATGTGTCTTTCAATACATCTTAATCATCTAACAATGAGGCTGAATAGACAGATTTTGTTGCAATAACCTTATAAACCACCACAGGATTTTACTCTGCTATTGTTTGTTTATGTTGCTTCATGTCTACATTTATTTTAGAAAGAGTCCTACTATGGG